AAGTATCATGTCATCTGCAAATAATGATAATTTAACTTCTTCTTTACCTATTCTTATTCCTTTTATTTCTTTCTCTTGTCTAATGGCTGTAGCTAATGATTCCAGAACTATATTGAATAGGAGTGGTGATAGAGAACATCTTTGTCTTGTACCAGTTCTAAGAGTAAAACATTTCAGTTATTCCCCATTTAGAATTATGTTAGCTGTTGGCTTTTCATAAATTGCTTTTACCAGGTTAAAGTAGAAACCATCAATTCCAATATTCTGTACGACTTTGAACATGAATGAGTGTTGGACTTTGTCAAAAGCCTTTTCTGCATCAATTGAGATGATAATGTAATTTTTAGTTTTCACTCTCAATACAGTGTATTACATTTATAGATTTTCAAATATTGAACCATCCTTGCATCCCTGGGATGCATCCAACCTGGTCATGGTGTATGATCTTCTTGATGATTTGCTGTATTTAATTGGTAGGATTTTATTGAAGACTTTTGCATCTGTGTTCATGAGGGAGATTGGACTGTGTTCTCTTTCTTAGTTGCGTCTTTCCCTGGTTTTGGTATCAGTATAATACATGCCTCCGGGAATGATTTAGGGATGATTGCTTCCTTTTCAATGTCATTGAGGAGTTTGAGGAGTATAGGGAGTACATCTTCTGTAAATTTCTTGTAGAAATCAGCTGTGAATCCATCCGGACCTAGAATTTTCTTTCTCAGTAGGTTTTTAATTACATCTCATCTTTCATTGGCTGTTATTGGGCAACTGAGAGTGGTTATATCTTGTCGATTCAGTTTTTATAATTTGTACCTTTCTAGGAATCTGTCCATTTCTTTTGTGTCTCCTATTCTGTGAGAGTAAAGATTCTCAAAGTAGCTGATAATCTTCTGAATTTCCACTGAGTCTGTGGTAATTACACCCTTTTCTCTGCTTATTGCTTGTATTTGAATTTTTTCTTTCCTATTTTTGATGAGGTTAGCTAGGAACTTACCAATTTTATTTAATCTTTCAAAGAAGCAGCTTTTGTTTCATTAATTATTTGAACTGTTTTCTTCATCTCAATTGAAACTAATTTCTGCTCTAATCTTTATGATTTCTTCCCATCTGTGGGGTCTGGGTTTGGTTTGCTCTTCCTTTTCTAGTTCTTGAAGATGCAACATTATGGCATTTATTTGTTCCCGTTCTATTTTCCTACTGTGTGAGTTCACAGCTATGAATTTCCCTCTGGAACTGCTTTCATCATATCCCATAAATTCCGATAAGTTGTACTTGAATTTTCATTGAATTGTAGATATTGTTGAATTTCTTGTTTAATTTCATCTGTGACCCATTGTTTGCTGAGTAGGGTGTCATTTAATTTCCATGTATTTAGGATGTTTTTCTGGTTTCTTGCGTAATTTTCTCCAGTTTCATTGTACTGTGGTCAGATACTATGCATGGGATTATTTCTGTTTTCTTGCATATACTTAAGCATGACTTATGGACCAGTATGTGTTCTACTTTAGAAAATGACCCATGTGCAGCTGAGAAAAATGTGTATTCAGCCTTGTTTGGGTGGAACACTCTGTATATATCCACTAAGTCCATTTCTTTCAAGCTCTGGTTCAGTTCTGTTATTTCTTTGCTAATTTTTTCTGGTTGTCCTATCTTTTTGGGAAGAGGGGGTGTTAAGGTCTTCTGTT